ACGCAAACGATATTGGGACGGCTGCCGACGGATTACTATTGTACAATATATTACCCGACGTTTTCATGAAAATTTAGCCATACTAGTGATCGACCCAACATTTTGCAGTGGGCTCCTAAACTATAATAACAAAGTGTTTTCTGTGGAATAAGAAGAAAAATAAAGCAGTTTGCTTCTGTAAATGAATTGAAATATCCAAAAAACTGAGATGCATTTGGACTGGTTAACAGCATTTCTCAAGTGAAACTGTTATTTGTCAATTAAAACGGCTGAATCTACAAGCTTAACCCGAGCAATGAATTTTAATAAAGAAAAGGTTAAAGGTTTTTTTTGACAACCTGGCTTGTGTGTTATATAGGTATTATTTTGTGCCACAAAATATTTATAATGTGGACGTAACAGGCTGCACCAGTGTTCAGAAACCAACTAATGTTCTCGCTACGAATGGTGTTAAGCAAGTAGGCTCTATAGCTTCCTAAGAAACGAGTACATTGGTGACGATGTGTTTAGCCTTTAGTGCAATAGGAAACAGCGTCCCATCTAGTATTTCCTTAGGCTATTATTTTATCAAGGATGGGCCACCTATATTCTACGGAGCAGCTAACAAAAGCGGCTGTATAAAGGAGGACGAATTTTTGGTATTTCTTAAGCATTTCACAAATTTTTCTAAAAGCTCGTAAATTTTGCTTATTTTGGATAACCATTCTTTCCACCTATCTCTTCCAGTAATAAATTTTTGCCCAGATAATTTCATAACATTGCCCTCCTTTCCCCCTAACACGTCCCACATGCTGCAACCGCTTGACCGTACCGCATTTGGACCATTTAAAAGGGCTTATAATATCGAGTGTGACGATTGGATGAGAAACAATCCCGGAAAATGAATGGTATAATTCGAAATGCTGTACCTCAAGCCATAACCCTTCAGAACATAATTTCTGGCTTTAGATGCACGGGAATTTGGCCGTTTAATAGACAAATACTTACCGACGATGATTTTGCGTCTAACACTGTAACCGATAGGCCTCTTAAGAGCAATCCAGTCCCTTCTGACGTCACACCGCACGAATCTCACGACCTCCCCTTAAAGTATTTGGAACCTTGTTCGCTACATAAATTTGGCAATGTTGTGTGTCGTACGCTGAAGGGTCCGATTACAATTCAGGTATAATTCGTTGGCTATCGCCGCCTACTGGGGGTTAGTGGCTTGTTAATATACGAATGTAGAAATACTATTTTTAAACCAAACAACTCAAATATTTTTTATTTATTGATAGTTATAGATGATATACAGGGTGTCCCGAAATTAGACGGTCATATTTTAACAGCGTAATCTACATCCTAAAATAGTAGTAAAAGTTCGTATAAACATAGGGTCCGAAAACTTTTCTTTTCCGAGATACAGGGTGTTAAAGGTGAAGTCCTTATACCACACTTTTGTAAATATTTTCTTAACGTTTAAAGATAATTAGGAAAAATTTGTTACAAATACTTACCTTTTTACGCTTCATTTATTGGACTAAACCCCAGTTATTGATCATCTTCTTAGGTGGGTAAATTAGGGGGAGCTTAGGGTAAAATTGCCGTGTGTGTCTGTGTGTCTATATCCACCATAACTCATGAACCGATACACAGAAAAACACTAAATTTTAAACTTAAGTTTTATTTCGGCCTGACGTAAAAGAATTAGATTTTGGACAAAGTCGGAACATCTGGGGGGGTACTTTATGGGAGGCCGTTTTTATATTTTATTGAATATATCTGTTATTTATGTTTGGAGAAGAAAATTATTCAAATAAAAGTTACTTCTAATATTATTTTCTATAATTTTTGCTTTATGTCAAACTTTCCTGAAATGGTCCGTATTCGAGAAATTTGACAAAATGTGCAAAATTCTAAACTAAACTAAAAGTTTGCGATATCGATCTCTATAATTTTTGTTTATATATGATTTTTCTAAAATGGACCGTAATGAAAAAATTGTAGGAAAATTGCTAAATTTAAATTTTTCAGTATTTTCGTTTGCAATGAATAATTATAGAAAAATGTTTCGAGGTAGATAGATGTATGTGGAAAATGTATATATTTAGTTTATCCTCTAAACATTTATAGAGGTACTGCAATAAGTTGTACAAAATAACCAAAAAAAGCCTATAATAACTAGATAGGAAAGTCATGTGTTGGACACATCAGATTTTTTGACTATAACATTTGGAAAACCAATATTTTCTGTATAATAAAGCTACATTTGTTGCATCTCGCTAGGACGCGCCATTTTCAAGAGAAAAGCATGTTACCTTATTCGAAAGTGTAAACAATAATTAGTAGGTCTGTAGAATTAGAAATTTTATTTTTTTTTTAACTTTGAAAAACCGGTAACTAAAGAAATTTTATAAAATATTTCATCTGGACTTCACTTGTAACACCCTGTATCTCGAAAACGAAACGTTTTCGGACCTATGTTTATATAAACTTTTACTCCTATTTTTAACCGACTTCATAAAAGAAGGAGGGAGGTTCTCAATTCGTCGCAATATTTTTTTATTTTTTTTTATGTATGTTTAACGATAATTCTTTAACATGGTGTCCGATTTCAGTTATTCTTTTTTTTTTAGAAAGGGGGTACCTCAGGGGTGGTTCCATAAAAATTTGGTCAAAATCTAATAATTGGGCCCATGAGAAAATTCTCAAACTCTTCATTTTTTATGTATGTTTAGCGATAATGCTTTACCACCTTGTCCGATATATATGATTCTTTTTTTGGTAGTAAGGGGGTACCCCAGGGGTGATCCTATATAAATTTGGTTAAGATGTGGTGACGGCATCTGCACGTTTTTGAATTCGGTTTTTTTTTTATTTTTTATTTCTAATGCTTGTAGGATGTAGATTAGCTGTTAAAATATGACCGTCTAATTTCGGGACACCCTGTATATTGGAAATTCGAAATAATAGTTATGACGTAGCGGTGTTTTTCTAATTGTCATCAGACCCTAGGTATATGGATACGGAAAGTGATGAATTGGAGATAGGTAAATTGTATTTATTGTATTAAAGGAACAACAAATATAATTACAATTAAATAAGTATATTAATATAACAATTTTTTAAAGTCTGTATTAAAAAAAATTTTTTTCACATAGATTATTAAATTAAAAAAATAACTATTAAAACACGAAATGTTAATTTTTCTCTTTTACAACACAAAATAAAATTTTCTCTTGGCAGCAGGTGGTTTTTGTGACGCGACAATTATGATGCTTTGCATCTCATGAATTAAAGTTAATTCTCTTTCAATCTTAAGGTGTTCATACCCCTTATAATTTTCGGACAAGAATATCTCAAAATATTTAAATTTTGGCAAAATAAATTAGGCAATAATATCTATAATATGCATATATTTTAATGTTTTAATTCCTTCCAGTTTCCCAAAAACACTAAAAGGGCTTTAATTTAGAAATATCATAATGAAAATAAATGCAGGCCTCGACAGCACTATTCTTGATATAATCCCCAAATTTAAGCCCCTAATGTCTTGTTAATGATTTCTTAAAATTTGCCAAAATTAGTGGCTAAAACGCTTCGTTAAGTGCTATCTTCTGGTGTAAACTGGTGTAAATTATTGCAAGAAACGAATAATGACAGAGTGTATGATACGATAGTTACAAGCCCGCTACTCTGTTTTCCACTCAATTTATTAAAAAAAAAAATAATAATAAATTAGGGTGTTAATTTTTTTTCTCTGAAGCTATTGGTTTTGGGAAAAAAATTCAAGAATAAAAAAAAATTAAATAAATCGAGGATTTCATAAAAGTTCATATCGAAAAGTGTTGCTAATTTCACCCCCCTATAATGTAACAGAAATATTGAAAAAATACCCGTGGTTAGTCCTTTGCGATTACAGAATTTCAAGTTTCTAGCTTTACTGAAATTTTAGAAAAAAAATAAAAACTCAATTTTAGTCACCACTTTTTAAGGGTGATATCTCGAAAAGGGGTGGGCTGAGGAAATTTTGTTATAGGAAAGACCCATCTTAATTTCATACGAGCAATCAGTTCCTGAATTTTGTCGCATGTATTTAGGAACACCCTGTATATTACACATTTTTTTAAGCGTGCAAAATTCTTGACAATCTCTTTTCCCTAATTGGCACATGTCGTATTTTTCTAGGATTTACTAACTCTGGCAGCAAACAAATAAAATAGAAATTTGTCAGCTGTGCATTTTTGCCTTCCAGAATTTTTCATTTCATAAATTAACTAAAAACTAAATTAAACAAAAACCTAACAACGCCTCAACAACAAACTAAGACGATCACAATAATTTCGCACCTCTTCAAAAACAACTACCTATTTTTCCACACAGGAATTAACAAATTTAACTAAACAGCAGCTACCCTTTTAACCACGAGCTTCAAAGACTAGCAGCGTTGCGATATTCACTAGTAACATTGTATAGAATTAGTATCGGAATGAAAACTATGTTAATCTTCGGTCCTGTTTAAAATTGGTAATCTTTTTGAAAAAAAGTTATTTAGAAAATAGTTAAAATATTTGTTATAGAATGCCGGTAAAGAGCCAAAAAATTAAATTTGTTAAAAAGTTGAAATTTTTTGTTGTTTTTCTTTAAAAATATAAGTTTTTCGCGGTTTAGCGAAATTCTTGGTTCATATTTACAACGATTGGCCTGAACCATTTTTTTTACAATTTTTTTTAACTGCCTCAAATGTAAAATTGATTTTTGGCGGAGGAGCGCCCGTCATGTTTGCTCTTAACGAAGATAACGATCCCACTGATTGTCATCCAAAAGAACCAACCGGAAATCAGTATTCATCAATAAGATCCGCTGTCCAGTTAACCTGTCCACCTTCCCCACTAGCATCTAGTTCGGGAGTAACATGTTCTCCCTCATCAATGCCTTCATCATCAAAAATTATGGATCAGATACCGTCTACTTCGAAACCAACATGTTCTCCATCATAAACGACTTTATCATCAAAAATTATGGACCAATCAACTCCACCTTCTTCTTCAAAATCTAAAGAAGAACATGTTTTGCCACCTAGTAAGAAACGTTTTACTCCTGAGCCAATGAGGCATTTACCAAAAGCAGACTTTAGTAAACCAAAAAATGTTGGAAGGCAAACGGGAAACACTGCTGTACTCACTGACACTCCCAAGAAGATGCTAATAGAACAACGTCTTGCTGATAAAAAGACTAAAAGCAAACGTGCGGAGAAGCGAAAACCTAAATATAGTGAATCCTCATCATTGTGCTTAGTTCGTACAAAACAAGCTATGAAAACTGGTTACAGTGTCGACAGTGTAGAGAATGGGCACATTCTAAATGTGTAAAGAATAAATCTCTTTTTATTTGTCAGAATTGCCATTCTGCGGATTCTGAGTATTCTAATTTTAAAATAATTTGCCACTGTATGTTAACTTTTGAGTTAGATTTTTGTTAATTTTGTTGCTATTTAAAAACTTTTAGAAAGGGTATTGTTACACTCATTAACAATGAAATTTTTTTTTAATTCTTCTTGAGGAATATGTTTTGTTTTGTTTGTTCGTTTAAAAATGTTATTGAAAATCATTCATTAGATTTAAAATAAATATAAAAAAATAAAATAAGTACATTATGTATTTATTTTTGGCTTCCAATAAACGGTATCAAAAGGGCCAATTGTTTTATTTAAATTATATTCTGATATAATATGCTTGTTACAATCGACACCTACCCCTGTTATAACTGACACCTCATTGGTGTCAATTGTAACATTTGTCACCGATGTGTCTTTAAATTTTTAACTAAAAAGCCTCAACTTTTTTTTTAACTTTAAAAATACCAGATTACTCATACGATTATACATTTATTTAAAAAAAAAGTTTTCGCTAGGGCTTACTATAAGGACAAAAAAAATATAATGTAAATTTTGTTACAACCGTCACCGATCTCCCCTGCAAGATGATTTATCAAATTTTTTTTGACACATTTAATAATTTAAATATCAATCTATCTACTAAATTCAATAAGCTGTATAATTAAACACATGTAACAATAAATTCATCAACATATTAATAACCCAGATGTGGTTTATTTAAATGATCAATTACAATCTACATATTAGCCTATCTTTTCCAGATTAACCTTCTAAAGTTTCCTAAAGCCTTTGTAAATCCTTCAACTTTTGACTTGTTATAATATATATAATAGCCCCTTTTTTCAAAAAATTCATATTTATTATAAATTTCCTTAACCTAAATCTAATGTCTAATGTCAAATTCTTCTTTTTTAAAAAATCAAATGTCACTCTAACTTCATAACACCAACAGAATTTATTCGTGGCCTCTTCGAAATCTTGGACATCCTGTCAAATTGTTTAAATTTATACTATAAAATTTGTCACAAAACTAATTTAACATTATCAATTTAACTAATGTCAAATTTAATTATTATTAGCTCAACCATAATTGTAACTACGTGTCTTCCATCATATGTCAGTTGTCAAATGTCGTAAATTCTCCACCATTTTCTTATTTAACTTTAATAATTAATGATACCCCTTAAGCCTAAGCTTAAGGGTGTACACAAACCGAACTCCGTCTACCCCCATTTGTACTGGGGATAGGGGGAGTAGCGGTATTTCCCCAAAAGTAACACTTTCCACATGGTGCCTTAAGCACACATGTGGAGCTTTAAAATTGATCTCTTTTGTAACCACCTTCATTAGATGGAGGTAGGCGAGGTTCAAGATTGAACAGTACCCAACCTCGAATGAGGGAGGCAGTACGTGCCAATTTTTACAATTTTTTATAACAATTTTTACAATTTAAAAATTTTTAATTCAACATACTTAATTTTTTCTGTGGACACATAGTGGTAAGACACCTAGCATTTCTATAAAAACGTTTTGTTATCCTAAATTATTATTGCAGATTGTACCTACCTACCTACTATAATAATAATAATAATAATAATAATAATAATAATAAAGCGTCTTTATTCATCAAGTTTTAGTATAAGTGTAAATATATACATATATATATATATATAAGGTAGATGAAAAGGTGAAGTTCAGCTTGTGCTGATATACAACTTAACCTGTAAATAACATTGAAATATAATAATATAATAGAGAAAAAAAAGTATAAAAAATAAACAGATTTTCAAAACCAAATTCGTTGCATTATATAATATATTTTTTATGACCATTGCTTATTGAACAAAGATTCTTTTAGGCATTTCTTGAAATTAAGCAAGTTATATGATTTAAATTCATTTGTAAGTTTATTGTACTCTTTACATGCAACATACGAAAAACATCTTTTAAATAGAGCCGTGTTATGATTCGGTACCACCAAGGTCATTCGATTCCGCGTAGGAAATTCATTAATATTGCAAAATGTCTTTAATTTGTTAACTAAATAATCAGGTTTCTGTATGAGTAAAACTTTGTGAACTTGGGTTAATAAATGCAAAAGGCGATAGTTATTGAAAGTCAACCAACCTGATTCTTTCATTTTATTCGAGATATGATCAAATTTTCGAATTCCATAGGCGAAACGTAGACAGCTATTCTGAATTTTTTGTAAACGAGCGGAATCGGATTGGAGTAGGGCTGGACCGTAGATGGAATCACAATAACTGAGTTTGGAAAAAATGAGAGATTCACAAAGTTTAAGTTTGAGTTGTGTGGAAAGCAGGTCTCGGTTAGGGTACAACTGTCTCAAGACGTTGAACGAACTTTGAGATATGGTGGAGGTATGTTTACTAAAACGAAGATCAGAATCTAACCAGAGACCTAAGTTTTTTCCTTCATTCGTGAATTGAAGAAAAGCATCGCCTAATTTAATTTGTAATGCGTTTATTGTTAATTGTCTTAATTTTTTGGGGCCAAATAACATGATGGATGATTTTTTAGAATTTATTTTGAGGTTGTGAGCTGTAGAAATATCAAGTAATGCATTTAAATCGTCGTTAATAAGATTTTGGGCAGTAAGTAAGCACTTATTATTAAACGAGTGATATAACTGGGTATCATCTGCATAATGATGGATCACACAATTTTTAACAAAACTATGAAAATCTGCTATATATAGTGAAAACAGCAATGGTCCCAGAATGGATCCCTGCGGAACACCTAGACTAACGGGTAAACTGCTGGATACATCAGCTTCCAAAATAACTTTATGAGTACGATTGCTAAGAAAATTTGATATTAGACGAACGGATTTATGAGAAAAACCGAAAAATTTCAGTTTTTTGCAAAGTGTTGGATGACCTAAAGTATCAAATGCTTTGCTATAATCAAGAAGAACCAAACATGTGACTTTTCCCAGGTCTGTCGCTTTAAAAAGGTCATCCGTGATAGATAAGAGGGCAGTGGTCGTACTATGGTGCATTCTAAAGCCAGATTGAGCTGGAGTTATTATATTTTGGTCATATACATATTTGCTAATTTGATCTTTAAGTATAAATTCAAACGATTTAGAAAGGGTTGGTAGAATACTAATAGAACGCAAGTCAGATAAGCTAGTAGGTTGATTACCTTTAGCAAGCGGAATAATAAAAGCCCGTTTCCACGAAAGTGGATAATGAGACGAAGAAATTATTTTATTAAAAATAAATGTTAAATGATTGATTAAATAATTTTCTACTAACTGTATCATGCGCAGTGATATGTTATCTAAACCAACGGCATGACTTTTTATACGATTTAGAGATTTTCGAACTGTATCAGAAGAGACAGATTTAAATTCGAATTTATTTTCATATATATTTTCATAGTACCGATCAAGTAAGGCTACTCACTTACAAAAAATTTTTTGCCTGATGATGACCTTTTAGGTCGAAAGCGCTTGCAACCTAACCTAATAAATTTATGTGGTCGACAGACTTTGAGCCCTTTACTTCCCTATAATAAATATTTGTTTTTATTATCAGTAAAGATTTGAAAGTGAAAGGTGTTCATAAAAATGGACAATGAGATTGAAATTATTGAAACCAGCAAAGGGAAACCTGTACTTATTAATGGTGGTTACAGATATCAGATAAAATAAATTTATAAAAATGGAAATGTATCTTGGAGGTGTTCTAATAGAAACTGTGGTGGACGTGTTTCTACAACAAATTACAAGAAACAAATTTTGGGGAAAAAAGATCATACTTGTGTTTTGGATATAGCTAAAAGAGAAGTTGAAAAGTATGTTTTTCAGTGTAAAAAGCCAGCAAGAGAAGAATTTACACCTATTCCTCAAATTGTAAGTAGTGAATTCAAAGACATTAAAAATCTAGGACTGGAGTTTGTGACCAAAATTCCTGAGTTAAATTCAGTAAAATCAAACCTTTATCGTGCTAGGCAAAAAACATTTGTAAATGTTTCATTACCGAAACACAGATCTGAAATTGTGTTGCCACCACAATTAGCGGAAAACTTTTTAGTTATAGAAGACGGTGTTGAAGATAAAATATTAATATTTAGTAACGTATGTGAATCTTTATTAAATGAAAGTGAAGTATTTTTTGGAGACGGAACATTTAAGAGCTGTTCTTTATTATTTTTTCAATTGTACACTATACATGCAGATGTAAAAAGTACCGAGGATAGTACTTCTATTATTCCAGTAATTTTTGCTCTTTTGCCGAATAAGGAAGAAAAAAACCTATATAAGACTTTTTTCCTTGCTTGTTTCAAAGTTTCAAAATTTTTCACCGAAAGTATTTAAATTGGATTTTGAAGTAGCTACCATAAATGCAATAAGATATGTATTTTTTAAAACTGTCATTCATGGATGCAATTTTCACATTAATCAGGCCATATGGCGCAAAGTTCAAGATTTAGGTTTAGTGTTATCATATCGTAATCAAAGTGAAGTACGAAATCATATTAGAATGTGTGCTGCTCTGGCTCATTTACCCGAAGAAAATATCGATGAGGGATGGCTGATTATAATGGAAACTTCACCTATTAATGATCTAGTTATTAAATTTAATGATTATTTTACTTCACAATGGTTAGATAATCCAATTATCCAAAATATTTGGATATGTTCGGGGCACAGACATCGGACTACAAACGCAGTGGAAGGATGGCATAGTAAATTAAATAAAAAAATTGGGAAAAGTCATCCAAACATTTTCGAGTTAATAACTGTATTGAAAGAGGAGGCTGCTTTAAATATAATTAAATTACAAAAAATAAATCTATATATACCAACTCCAAAAAGATTAAAAAAATAGGTTGATATTGATATTAGAATTAAAAAAACATTAAATGATTTAAGGGACAAAAATATTGACTTAAAAAATGCGTTGAACAAATTCATGTACATTACTAAATTTGAGTAAAATTGTG